CTCCTCCCTCTCTCCTCCACCTCCTCCCTCTCTCCTCCACCTCCTCCCCCTCTTTCCTCCACCTCCTCCCTCTCTCCTCCACCTCCTCCCTCCCTCTCATCCACCTCCTCCCGCTCCCTCTCTCCTCCACCCTCTCCCTCTCTCTCCTCCACMTCCTCCCTCTCTCTCCTCCACCCCCTCCCTCTCTCTCCTCCCTCTCTCTCCTCCACCTCCTCCCTCTCTGTCCTCCACCCCCTCCCTCTCTCTCCTCCACCTCCTCTGACTGAATTAGACGTGAACCAGAATCTTGTTTCTTTCTTTTTTATTTATTTTTGCTCGTCACATTCTACATGTTCCGCTGTCTCCGGATGTAAATACAGACTGAACACGTGTGATGGTCGAGTGTTAGGACGAGTACATACCTTCATCTTCTATAGAAACAAAACGTACTGAAAAAGAAAAATCTAAAAATGATACAGCCATGTTTACGAAGTACACGCTTCCCTTTGTCCGATATGTACACGTCCGTCTGCGGAGGACTGACACTCGAGTGTTTGTGTCCTGCTGTTGTTGCCGTAGTCAGATTATAAAAAGGGAAAAGTTCAAGGGAATCAGCCGGTGCACATTTTACGGGTCCCTCTCCTTCTTTACCTTTATGTCCCCGGCCAAGATGGTGGCTATTTCCCCCTGCATAAAGGCCCAGGGTACATTGGAGCCGACCAGCGGGCAACGCTCGCCGCTGGGGCAGTACACCTCGCCGGTGGCGCCCTGCTGCTTGATGCTCTCCCGGGAGCAGGGGAAGCAGAACTTGTGCGAGGGCACCGACGGGCACTGGACAAAGTGGGTGTCCTCCAGCCGCTCATGGCACAGGGTGCAGCACAGCGCCACGCTGCCGGGCACCACTGAAGAGTCCGGAATGCTCTGCGGAGCCAGCGCGTGGGGCTCCATGCTACCAGGAGTGTGTGGAGCAGAGGGGTTGGCGTTCAGAGGCCCCTCCCTCTGGGCCAGTCTCCTCTGAGAGGCAGAGGACGGCGACAGGGGGCTACCGCTGTTCCGCCGTACGCCCGACGTAGTGGAGTGTACCTGATTGGCATCCTTGGGTGAGCCTGTGCCTCCAGCATTGTCAGTGGCGAGGATGAGCGCCGCCATGGGGGACTGACCGTTCTGGGCTGTGGCAGCCTCAGGGGGTGTGGTGCGGGAGTTGGGGGAGATGGTGGAGGGGGGAGCAGATGAGAACCCTGGCAGAGCGACCAGGGGCATCTTCAGGACCTCAGAGTGCGCCGGGAGCCACAGCTCGCCACCGTTCATCTTCAGGGCGCCGCCTTCACCGTCCGGCTCCGGGGACGCCTTCCTCTTCAGGCTCCGAGGGTGCTTCCCCCTGTCTGAGGAAGAGGAAGAAAGAGGGTTACACAACCACTGCACACACTGTGAACAACACACACACACAC